AAAATCAACCGCTAGATAACCTAATACAAGACAAATGTATGAAAATCAATACACCAATCACACTTGCACCCCTAGGGTAATCCCTCTTGTTGCCTTCCAAAATGGGCCATGCTTGCATGTTGAGTTTCTTTGGCAAAACAATTCAAATTATCATAGTCCCTCGATGACGCTTTCGAAGTTGCCTACAAAATGATCATAGTCCCTTCAAGAAAAATTTCCAAAGACACTTGGCATCATTGCATTCATGGTCCATACGATGACCTGCGCCTGTCCCGTTAACATCCTAACACAAGATTGTCCACCAAATACAATGGTGGAACAAAACTGTTAAAAGGGTTAAAAACATGAGAAAAATCTTTGAGTAAATTTAGGGGTAGACAACTCTTAGTTACTTGATCAAACTTGCAAAACACACTTGCCTACTTTTCAAAACACACTCCACAAACACAATTTCCAAACAACTTTCAAAAAACATTTGAAATATCTTTTCGAAAAGACAAACACCTTTTGTAAAACATTCGAGTAAAGAATTGTTACAACGGTTGCCTAGACAAGGCATCTTTTTCAAAACATTTTCAAAAACACACACACACACACACCACCATTTCAAGCAATTGAAAATCAAAGGCAAGTGATCTAAAACAAGTAACTAAGAGCCCATGGATAACCATGGATGAAAAGGGTGCTAATACCTTCCCTTTTCATAATCTACCCCCCGAACCCACGAAACATCTCAAAAGGTTTTTCCTGTGCTTTTTAACCTTTCCTTTAGGATAAAATAAAAAGTCGGTGGAGACTCTTGCTAAACCGAACAAGTGCGAATACAAACGCAAAACCTCAAGTCAGTTCTCCCACCGTATCACAATAGGGATGTTCAAATCTGGCATAGCCTCTTTCAACAACTCTACGAGAGCAGTGAATGATGCATTACTCCATCCATGGAGACATTTCAACAAATAAATTCGAATAGTGAATGATAACGAGGAAAACTTTTCACAACCAGGATACAACTCTTGATTTGCATCATCAACTAGTTTATAAAATTTCTTTGCATCTTCATTTATCCCTTCATGTACTCCGCCTCCTTCAGCCACATCTTTAAATGTCTCAAATAGTAAGCCATCGATATCATCATGAGATGATGTTTCATCATCACTATCACCATCAAGATCTATAAGGCTCTCATCTTCACCATGATAAATCCATTCAGTGTATCCCTTTACAAATCCTTTACTACATAAATGGTCATACACTACATCTCTTACTTCCCAACTATCATTGCAACATATAGAACAAGGACACAAAATATCTTCTTCTTCAACCATTCCTTTGGTGAATGCAATATCCAAAAAGTAATTTACACCGTCCTTATAACTTTGACTGTGTGGAGGTAACTCCACCCAATCCTTCTTTATCATGTTTGGTTTTCTAAAATGAAATAAATTATACGTTAATCTTTATCATATAAAGGATGGAAAAACACCATGGTTCATATATCAACGTAGCTTTTACAAATGCATAGTTATTATAAAAATTTCATTTATAATCTAAATATACACTAAACATGCATTCCAATACCAAACATATAATAAATTGGTGAACTTTTAATCTAAACATGCATTACAAACATAAAATAAATGAGCTAAACTATTTTACATATGTTACTTCATGGAAGAGATAGTTTAAGGTTGTCTTTATCTATATCCATTAGATGATGTGTTTTACATATGTTTCTTTGGATTCATGTGTTTTGCCCTTACCAATAAGTCTAACTAGATGTGACTTTGAATTAATAATATATACAAGTATTTGATCTTATCAAGTGAAATTAGAGATATTACTTGCTTTCAAACTACAACTTGATAAGGTATGATTCCATATGATAAAATGATGAGAAGTTTTAGCATAAACATGAGTAGGATAAGGTATGATTCCTTATGATAAAATGATGAGAAGTTTTAGCATAAACATGAGTAGGAAAACACAGGGCTATTGCATGAGGGGTGTGTGTTAAGATTTAAAAACAAGAACAATTAATTTATATTCTAATTATGAACAAACATTTCATAGTCTAATATAATATGTATTTGTTGTTTCTTTTCAAACTAATCTAAAGTGCAGAAAGCATTGGAATGACTGGGTTCTGTTACCTGAATTCTTTCAACTTGATTCCAGCAGTAATAGAAACTAAAGTCTTGTCCTTAGTTAAAAGCGACTTCGATTTCAACACAACTTCTTTCACTGCAACAACAACAACAAAGCTAGTAAATGAAACAGAGACGTTTCTTTCCCATACAATGTTGAAACTAATGACATATCTATTGAGGTTTAACCGAAACAACGACGGTGAATGATCTAAAGACAAATAATTAGAAAATGAGAAAATTAAACACAAATTTAATAAATAGTAAAAGAGATGAAATGTAATACGTCACCTTTAGAAGAAAGGATGGTGATGTCGATGGATTCAAAAGTGGCATAACGAACTTGGTTAGACTGAGCAGATGCGAGTTACAATGCGGGAATGGGGAAAGACGCAGGAGAACCTGCACATCACACAACATTGATATAATCACATGGTTAACTCACCCTCAAGTAATTAAAATAACATTATATTTATATTTGAAAGGAACTAATAGAGTTGCTACAAAAATTGAAGAAAGATTATGAACATAAAGTTGCTGTTAGGTTTTGTCTAACTTCAACCAAGTAAAACATACATCCTTACTAACCATAATCAAATGACACATTTTATCAACTTATGTAGGCATGAATGTGTGTATTAAAATAATAACAGTAACTTGTCCTGGTTTTTTCACGTTGAACTTGATTGAAAATTAAGTCACACGACTAATGAGTAGAGCACATTAGCATATGTATTAGTTTTAATAACTAACATAATAACATAGCAATCAAGTAAGCATATAGAATTACACAGAGACAAAAATAATTAAGAAGCACTAACTTTCAAATGTTAGCTAAACACATATCTTATTGGAGAGATGTATCCAACACAATTTGTGTAGGCAAGTCTTAGGTATTGAGAAATCAAAAATAGAGATAAAATTATGAAATTTCTTAAAACAGTGAAAGCTAGGTCTATGCCTAAAAACAAAAACAAAAAACATCTCCATGCAACCAGCTCTCACAAACAGACCTTAGGATTGAATACAAAGTAAATGAGTAGAGTAATTGTGTAGTTACTTAATTTCTAACATTGTAATAACACATTAACATTAGGATTGAAAGTTGATACAAAATCACATGGGATTAAAGAACATTAATTTTAATAACCCAAAATAGACAAGTTTTCACAAACAAAAGGCAGAGTACAATCACAGTCATTGAGAAGCTGGGAAGCTACGCTGCTACTACAGCCTTCTAAAGCAATGAATCTTAAAATAACATTATACTAATATTATACTTATATTTGAAAGGAACTAAAAATTTTGTTTGTAGTAAACTAAAGAAAAGAAAATATACAGATAAAGTACATGTGGATTTCCACATGAATTAATGGTATTCCAATTACAAACTTATTAAACAAAATTGAACAAAGAACCAATACTGTAATAGTTATCTAATAAAGTGCCACCAAGGAATAATATAGGTATTTACTCATGCAAAACTTAAAGAATAGAAAGTAATTTATCTAACTAATCATATAAAATTTAAAGGAATAGAATACCACCATGAATAAAACATACTAAGAGTTTCTTAAACTGTAAGAAAATGTCACCGTGAATCCTAACAAAAAAAGAAAACTAACATATGCATCGCGAAGACCCTTAAAACCTCTACCTATCAAGCTGAGTTTTAATCTAGAAGACAAGAAAAGACGAGATCTCCTAAAGGAATTCACATGAATTTGAGCACAAAAAAACTTCATGCTAATAAAACAATGAGAATCAGATAGCTTTCTTTGAAAGCGGTTGAAATTTGACACATAAATGAATCCAAATTGACGTGAACATGAGAAGGGCTATCATTGAAGAGTATATTCAAGAGGTGGAAAAGTTGGCATATAGGTTGCTTGAACTCGTAGCTTTGAGCTTAGGACTAGAAGCAAAGAGGTTTGAAGAATTCTTCAAGGATCAAACTAGCTTTATTAGATTAAACCACTATAGGCCCTAATTCATACTATGCTGCTTTTCTGCATATTTTCGTTAGATGAATGAAGTTGTATTATTTGTGCAGGTTTAGAGCAATGATTCATATGAGAGTGTGGAACACAAAGTAATGGTTAACTCTGCGAGAGAAAGGTTTTCAATTCCCTTCTTTTTCGTCCCTGCGCATTAAACCGAAGTCAAGCCTTTGGAGGAGCTGACAAATGAGGAAAATCCTCCAAAGTATAGACCTTACAACTGGGGGAAGTTTCTTGTGAACAGAAAGGGTAGCAATTTTGCGAAGAAAAAAGTGGAGAACATTCAAATTTATCATTATAAGATAGCTTAAAGATAGTATAGTAGAAGTATATCTAGTTTGTGCAAATTGAATAATATGTTGATGCAAATTGATCTAATACTGTGTATGAGTATTGCTGAATAACATCTGTCATGAATTTTTCCTTTCAAAAATGAATAAAAAATTTGTTTATTTTCAATTCAAAATATGAAATTAGAATGGCCTATATTAAATTATTATTGATAATCACTATGTAATTAATTCTTTACTACTAGAAAAAAATAGTTAGCACTCTCTATCAGCATTTGTTTGATTTAAAGTAGTTAGAACCCCACTATGTTGTCAACTTCTTATATCAACAACAAATATGAAAATTCCCACACAAACTCAAACAACCATCAAAACACTCAGATTCAACTCAAACACAACGATACGAAATGTCGATCAAATTATAAATGCAGAAATACATACAAACACACCAACATACACCCACGTCAGAAAAACATAATCAATAACAAATTAACATCCATTCTTTGAACCTTCTCACCAACATAAACCAACAACTATAAACTGTATTGAAATAAAATGAAGAGAAGTTACCAATAATGCAATTTTGAGCACGTCGTGTTGTTATGTTGCTGCTGAAGGTGTTGAGCGTTGTTGCGGATCAGAAATGGCGATGTATATAAGTTTATGGCGGTGGGATGTGGTACGGTACATCTAGGGTGGGGTTTTTGGAATCGAGCGGACGACGAACGAAGGCAGTTGGACGGAGTGACGAACAACACAGCGGAGGGTGTGCACGAAAGTGGTTTGAGTCGGAGCGGATGAAGGACTTGGACTTGGAGCGTCTGAGAGCGGTATTCGGCGGCGGAATGTGTGAAGAAGAAGATGGAACGCTTTTGTTTTCCTTTTCTATTGTTTTTCTTATTTCTAGTTAGTGCAATATTGCTTCATTTATCAATTGGTCATCTTTCCAATATAAAGTGCTAATACACCTAAATTGGGCCAATAAAAATTAAACTAAGTGGGTAACTTTAATTCCACATTTTATACTTTTATATTTTAAAAATTACCCTTAATTTATTGTATTAAACCGTTTCAAAGTTGAAAAGTGGTTAATTAATTTACCTGCCAAGTCTTAATTCTAACCCATTAGTGCTTCCTTTTAGTGTAGCTCTATTCACTGCTACATTGGACACTTGAGCTTCAGACTTATCTTGTCCTAAGCTTCCAATGCTACAAAATAAAAAATAAAAAACAAAAAAGTAATAATAATACATCAATATTTTTAACCATTCAATATAAAATTAAATTAGAAAAAAATTAATTAAGAGAATTATGAACCTTATTCCATGTCCTGGTCCACATATTATATCTGTAGCTCTAATGTTTTTGGACCCACTTACTATTGAAATACAATCATCACCTTCAATAAAATAGCGAGAAAGAAAATTAGATAATTTTATATTTTAAAAAAATTAATTTTATAATATAATATATTTTAAATACTAATATTATAATTAATATTATCTCCTTTTTATAAGAGATATTTGAATCAACAAAATTTAATGTATTTAATTTAATACGTAAATCAGATAGTCTAAATCAGAAACATAACTTTATTATCTAAATATATTTTATAAAAAATATAAAAAATTAATATTATTAGATTGAACATAGGTAAAAATAATTTTTTTACCTGTCCCAATGATGTTGTTGGTTATGAAAACATTTTGTAAGTGAGTGACATGAAATCTATCAGTGTTGGGGCTATCTCCTGGTGCTCTAATGATAAGATTTGAAGCCCAAACATTGTTGCAATTCTGAACCCTTATATGCATTTGTTGTGCATTTTTGAACTTTAGGTTATTCAATTTCAAGTTGTTGTATTCAATGAATGTCACAACCTATATATGTAAAACATTAATTAAATAAAATAATATGAAAACAAAGCATGTAATAAAGTTTACAAAAGTATGCTTATTTAAATTAATTTTTTTTGTTAAGTTTGGATACAGCAAGTAATAAGATTTTATAATTTTGTGTTTTTTATTAAGTCCATGTGGATAAATACATGCTTATAATTAAATATTATTTTATAATTATGTGTTAAAATTTTTTTAATATATATATATTAATAATGTTTAGAGAAAAATATTTGTTTTTTAGTGTATAAGTTTTGGAGGGAAGATTGCCACCAAAAATTTGATAATGCTAAAAAAATTTATACAACATTTCATAAATGTAGCCTTTTATTAGAACTAATGTAACAATCTAAAAATGTCCCCAAAAATATTTTAGGGGACAATTGTCAAACATTGCTAAAGAAATAATATTTTTAACGCTCTAAAATCGTCCCCAAAAGCAGTTAAGAGCACAATTAACAATCGTTGGCAAAAAAATAAAAGAGTATCGCTCCATAAACGTCCCCAAAAGTATTTTAGGCAACGATTATCAAGGGTTGCAAACATATTTTTGACAACAATCGTAAATCGTTGCCTACATGAATTTAAGGCAACAATTTCTACATGTTACCTAAAAAAGTGTTGCCAGAGACAACAAATGTTGTAGTGCCCGCTGTCGGAATATGTGTTACAAACGGACTTGCCGCCTAGATGCAAAGTCCCTAAGTTCACTAAGTTTTTAGGGGACACGACAAAATCCACTGTCGAACATGTGGCAAGATATTTAATTGAAGCGGGAGAAATCTCAAACAATGAGAGCCTAAGGATTAAGTATTTCCTAAGTTCCCTAACAAAGAATGCGTTTACTTGGTTCACAACTCTCCCTCCCAATTCGATCCACCATTGGACCCAATTGGAGAGATTGTTCCATGAGCAATTCTACATGGGACAAACCAAGATAATCCTGAAAGAGTTGGCTAGTGTAAAGAGGAGATTCACTGAGCCTATAGACGAATACTTAAACAGGTTTAGATTGCTCAAGGCAAGATGCTTTACGCAAGTGCCAGAGCACGAGTTAGTCGAAATAGCCGCAGGAGGTCTAGATTACTCCATTAGGAAGAAATTAGACACTCAGTATCTGACGGACATGGCCCAATTGGCCGATAGGGTTCGACATGTAGAACGCCTTAAAGCTGAAAAAGCCAGGGCGACGAAAACTCATAAAAGAGAAAAGATAGCATATGTCGAAATGGACGATGAAGATCCAGAAACATTCGACGAACTTATAGCCTTCGAAGAAAGTGAGGTCGATTTGGCTGAGTTAAAACAAGGGCCACCATACTCTTGCAAATTACTAGTCCCCTCAAGTGGAAAAAACCCCACTAGATCTGAAAAGGCCAGTGATAGGTTCCCTAAAAAGACTAACAGTTTCGATATTACGAAATGTGATGAAATTTTTGATTTACTTGTAAAAGATGGCCAAATGATAATACCCCCAGGGGTAAAAGTGCCTCCTCTTGATCAAAGAAAGAAAAGAGGCTATTGTAAATATCATAACTTTCTGGGCCATAAAACATCTCAATGTTTTCTTTTCAGGGATCTCGTGCAAAATGCTATCGAAGAAGGGAGGTTGAAGTTCGCTGATAAGGCCCCCGTGAATGTGGATTCGAGCCCTTTGCAGGCGGAAGCCCACTATGCTGAACCTTCAGAGGTGAATGTGATCGAAGCTTCCAGGAGTCAGGTGAAAAGGCCATGGATAACTATGGTTGAAGTCACCAAAGATCATATCAATATGCCAATATTTGGCAGTTTTTCTGGGAACCTTTCTAGAAAAACAATCGAAGCAGTCCAAAAGGTCGCTGAGGGCCCAAAACTGGAAACAGGTAGAGTCTAAAAATCTGGAACTAAACCCACTTCCTATTTGGCTGCGGTGCAAGGCCAGACAAAAGACCTGGAGGCTCAAATGAAGCAAATGACTCTTGCTACTAAAGACAACATGAATGTTAACATGGTCGAAATTTCTGAATCAAAAGTTTCAGAGGAAGCCATCAGGCAAGAGCAAGCAAACAGGACAACGTTCCCCCTAGAGAACGAAAATCTGGCATAATTCTTGCAACGATGCCAGAAGAAGAAATCAGAAGTAATATTGTGTCCTCGATGCAGCTCTATTTTTGACAAGAAAGCTGCTGAACACATCGAAGGTATGAGAGCAGCAAACAAAAAATGGAGCAGAAATGCCCAAAAAAGTGCAGGCTTTAATGTTTGACACGATCCTAGAAGAACCTATCAAAAGGGTTCAAGTCAGGAAAAGAGGCCGCTAACTTTCAGGCCTCTAACCAATGTGCCAGTCGATACATGGCTCAAAACATCGGGTCGAAAGAGACCCAACGAAGGAAGGTGGCATCCATTTGAAGTGCCAAGAGGTTCATCTTTGATACTCAAGAAAGAACCTCATGTAGGTGACACCAAAGTTGCTCAAGTATCGAGTAACTACAAGGGAAAGAACCCAATGTCTCGATCCCAGTGGAGAAGGTACCAAAGGCGATGCAAGGCTGAGAGAGAGGCTGTCAAAGAACCAAAACCAGAGTCGAGTTCAAATGTTCCCCAGCGAAAGCAAAGAAAGCCTTTGGAGAGGGAACCAGTAACCAATAGATTGGTATGGCCTGATCAAGACGAAGCTGGTGACGAAGGTAGTTTCAAGTTCGATGACACATTAGACATCATGGTAAATATAGTTTCGGTATTGCCAAGAGAATTCGACTGCCAAATGGAAGTCGAATCAAACGACTGGGAAGTCGAACAAGAGATGGCCAAGCATAGGCCATTATGCTACTTTGTCATGGGTAATGGCTGCACTGAAGAGCAAAATGGTTTCTTCGAACCACCGACGGAGGTGATGAAAAGTAACCTCAAGCCTTTATTCATAAGGGCAAAGCTCGAAGAGGCCACTGTAAACAAAATCTTGGTGGACTGTGGGGAGACTATCAACATAATCCCCCACTTCATGCTAAGAAAAGTAGGAAAGAATGATGAAAACATTAAGCCTCATAATATGGTCCTATCGAACTACGAAGGTGGAATAGGGACTACTATGGGTGTGACTCAACTAGACCTCAAAGTGGGATCCATCCTTCAATCAACCATGTTCATGGTCATATCGGCGAAACCAAATTACAACCTACTGTTAGGCCGAGAATGGATACATGGTGTCGGAGCAGTACCATCATCGATGCACCAAAGGTTGATATTATGGCGTCCCGATGGGATTGTCGAGAATGTAGAAGCAGATCAGAGCTACTACTTAGGCGAAGTTAATCACCTAGGGAGAGCCGACTTCGACAAAAAATTGGCTCACATTGGGCCATGTCCAGCACCTGACTTCGACATGGCGCCAGCGCCAAATGTTTTTTGTTCCTTGTACCTGCATCCTGATCATGGGTTTCAACGGGATAAAGAAGACTTGTCCCACATTGATTTCAGTGGGCTAATTGACATCCAGCCAACTGGTTGGGGAAGCGAATTCAGTGATAATGACTGAGTCACAAGCGTTACAACAAATTTCGGCTTACGTAGCCGAAACAAGAATGATAGTGGCTCTTGAAGCCGAAGTAAAATATATGGCCAACAAGGCCAATGACCAGGAGCCACCAGATATAGGTCCTGGAAAAGATTTCGACCCAGAACCTCCCGATATCATGACAGAAGGAATACAGGAACAGAGGCTCGACGCCATCTACGATGATGAGCCTTTGGGTTTCGAAAAGGACCCCCTGGCGAACAACATCAAAATGTTAGCACAGGATCCTTTAGAAGAAATCGACTTTGGCGAAGGGTTAGATAAATTACCCACTTACATCAGCGCCTAAATAGACCCAGAGCTCAGGGTTGAAGTGATCCAATTACTGAAGGAGTTCAAGGACTGCTTTGCATGGGATTACGACGAGATGCCTGGTCTCAACAGAGGATTGGTAGAACTTCAGTTGCCAATCAAACTTGGGAAAAAGCCTGTCAAATAGACTCCAAGACACTTCGCTCCAGAAATACTGTCGAAGATCAAAACGGAAGTTGAAAGACTGCTGAAGTGCAAATTCATACGAACTACGAGGTACATCGAATGGATTGCAAACATTGTGCCAATGATTAAGAAAAATGGTACATTGAGGGTGTGCATAGATTTCAGAGATCTGAATGCTGCAACACCCAAAGATGAATATCCTATGCCTGTGGTGGAAATGCTTGTCGACTCTGCCGCTGGCCACGAGTACCTGAGCATGCTCGACAGTTACTCAGGATATAATCAAATTTTCATTGCTGAAGAAGATGTGTCGAAAACAGCTTTTTCATGCCCTGGGGCCTTAGGCACTTACGAATGGGTAGTAATGCCTTTTGGCCTAAAAAACACTGGGGCAACATATCAGCGAGCAATGAAATCTATCTTCCATGGTTTTATTAACACTTTCATGCAAGTATATATTGACGATATTGTTGTAAAATCTGTTTCCAGGAAGAACCATATAGACCACCTTCGACAATCATTTAAAAGAATGAGAAAGCATGGTCTGAAAATGAACCCTTTAAAGTGTGCATTATGTGTGAAAGCTGGAGATTTCTTGGGCTTCGTCGTCCAAAAGAAAGGAATCGAAATCAACCAGAACAAGACGAAGGCAATCTTGGAAGCGAAAGCGCCAACGAACAAGAAGGAACTGCAATCTCTACTGGGCAAGATAAACTTCTTAAGGAGATTTATATCTAACCTAAGTGGAAAAGCGCAAGCCTTCTCACCCTTACTTCGATTGAATAAGGAAGGATTCGAGTGGGGGCAAGAGCAACAAGATGCCTTCGAAAAGATCAAAGGGTACCTCACCAAGCCACCTATTTTGGTGCCTCCTTGTAGCAATAAGAGTATGAGATTGTACATAGCTGCATCCGAAAAAACT